CCCACCTTGCACCAAGTTGACTTGAGAGTCTTTCTTTTTTCTTGGTGCCTTGCAATCCGAGGACTTGTGTCCATTTTTGTTGCAATTGAAGCATTTTCCATTAAATTTGGGTTTGGAAACGCCTCCCTTGGGATCGAGCTTGCTCTTCCCATTATTTTTATTTTTGGAACCTTTTGCATGCTCCACCACGTTGGCCTTGGCGCCGCTAACGATTGGGAGTCTCCAACCGTTCTTTCGATTATCCTCTTCAATCCGCAGACGGAGGATCAACTGCTCCAAGTTCATTTCCTTTCGCTTATGCTTAAGGTAGTTCTTGAAATCCTTCCAAGCCGGCGGCAACAAATGTATAATTGACGCCAGTTGGAAAGACTCACTAACTGTCATTCCTTCATCTCGAATTTCGTTGAATATCATTTGCATTTCTTCAACTTGACTCAAGACCGTCTTCGAATCCACCATTTTAAAATCAAGGAATCGACCGACAACAAATTTCTTTGCACCTTCATCCTCGCTCTTATATTTGTGGTCCAAACCATTCCATAGCTCCTTAGCCGTAGCTAATTTGCTATACACGTCGTACAAAGCATCATGCAGCCCGTTCAACACGTAGTTTCGGCAAAGGAAGTCAGAATGCTTCCATGCTTCAACCGCGTTGAAAGATTGCGCATCCACCTCACCGCCGGTTGCTGCCGGCGCATCTTCGGTCAAGAACCTAGCAAGACTGAGAGTAGTGAGGTAAAATAGCATCTTGAAGTTTAAGCCGTTAAGTTTTTCGGGTTTCTCCACAGAGTTGCTCGGCACGGTCACCATAGGGATAGCCCTTTGGTTAACCAAAGCAGATGCACCGCGTTGTGAACTATTGTTCACCGGAGCTCCGCTTTCAGATTGATTATCATTCAAACCGTTCAAAGCATTTTGCCCAACAACATTTTCATTTTCTTGAGAAGTCATTTTCGTTTCTTACGTTATTCGAAAACACAAAAAAACAAGTTCGTTCACCAAGGTGACAAACTACAAGTTTAAGATTGTTTACCGTAGTAGAACAATCAACAAATACGTTTTAAGATTGTTGGGTGTGTTTCGAAGAACAAAGAAATATAATTAATAAAATTAATTAATTAATTAATTAAAATGATTAAAGAAAAAACAGAAAGTAGATGGAGCAGAATTAGCCAAAGCTCGTGCAACGCACGATGTCCTTAAAACGTATTTGTTGCCTCCCGGGGTGCTAGGAGCGTTGCAACAATCGTTTCCCAGGATACGATTACTACGAACAATAATTTGAGCACTCAAACAAATTGTTCCGGCGAACGAGAACAAGTATGAACACCAAGGAATTTTTCAAGAAAGCTAGAGGTGTTTTTGAGAGCTAAAGAGTGCGAAGTGATCGTTTGCGTGTGTTGTTGCAAACCACCAGCTAGCCAATTTATAGAGGAAGATTTGTTGTGTGTTAATGACGTTTTAATGGACATCACCGTTGGACATCAATGTCCAAAACGTTGGCATTGAATCGTCTGTAACTGTCCATTTAATTGCAAGAAACGTTGGGCATTAATCTACGTAACGGAAGCAACAGGCTGCTAACGAGCAGGCGGCTCAGCAGGTGGCTGAGGGTAGCAGGCGAGCAGGTGGCTGCCTTGCAGCAGGCGCCTCAGCAGGTGGCTGCCTTGCAGCAGGCGCCTCAGCAGGTGGCTGCCTTGCAGCAGGCGCCTCAACAGGTGGTTGTCTGGCAGCAGGCGGCTCCAACGGGCAGAACTTTGAGAATCAATTTCTCATTCACCCGTTATCCATTTTGAGTGTACCACATATCGAATTGTAGCCCTTAACAAGGAAAATCCGAAATCACTTTGACCCGACCCAAATCGGAAGTGGGTCCCACTCAAAATATTGCCCCAAAATGACCATTTAATGCAATTTCTTAACACATTTTCCAACAAGATTCTCATCTCAACGCTTATCAATAATCTTCCACAACGGTTTGTATTTCTCCTCTCTCCCTCTAAATGTGTTTTTGATTCCGAGTTTTGCTCTCTCCATAGCTTCCATATATGAAACCCATAGGAGGCAAATCTCCATCCACAATTCTCAACACCTTCACAAGAGGCAAAGAAATCTTCATAACAAAATCCACACTTCGCCAAAAGGTTTGGCGGTAAACTTCATCACAAACCGCTTTGCCCTCTATCGTTTTCGCAAAGTCACTTTCAAACCACTTTGGCGAATTAAACATTTGCCTCAATGCATGTTTTTGAGTAAGGATGCTTTGAAGACTCAAGAAATTCGTAGCAAATCTGGTTGCGGCTGGTTTCACCAACTCCCTCCCATTGGTAAATTCTTTCATCAAATCATGAACAAGAGTGTGATTATAAATGTAGGTAGTAATACCTTGGGCCGCCTTGACCGTTTTTGCTACTATTGGTATTTTCTTTGAAAATTCTTCAAGAATCAGGTCAAGCGAGTGTGCAGCACAACCGGTTGTGAAGATGTGTGGGTATCTTTGCTCAATCTTCCTCTTAGCTAACTCATAATTTTTAACATTATCTGTCACAACCTGTATCACACTTTGCGGCCCAATTTCTTGAATCCACTCAGCAAACAACTTAAACAGAGCTTCACCGGTCTTCTTATATGAAGAAGCATCAATGGATTTCATGAAAATAGTCCCCTTGCTGGAATTGACACAAAAATTTACAAGAGTTCTGTGTCGTTTGTCTTGCCAACCATCAGACATTATGGTGCAACCATCCAGCTCCCAAAATTTCTTATGCTCCCTTACCACGTCATCAGTTTTCTCCACCTCCATACGTAAAAATTTCTCCCTCACCTCATGATATGTAGGTGCCTTAAACCCGGCCCCAAATCTCCCTATCTTTTCGAGTGTGTCTTTAAACAACGGATCACGAACCGTATTAAATGCGATGCAATTTCTATACATCCACAAGCATAAGCTTTGAGCATATTCTTCCCGCTCTTTTGATTTTATCTTTGATGGGATCGTAGATTGGATCAAGCCCCTCTTCTTTCTCTTTATTGTTGGATAAACAAACTTATCCATAGGTCCACTACCACCTGCTCCCACCGGATTTGAAGAACCTCTGGTTATCTCGAAGTCGTCATCTTCACTGGCATGCTCTGCATTAGATCCTGATTGCCCTCCAGTGTATGTACTCTGAAATGTATTTTCAAACACGTTTGTATCAGTCCGTGAACTAGCTTCTTTCAAAACCAACACTTGTAGGGCTGCCTTCTTATCTGCCGGGATTATGTCGCAGTTTCTGGTGTTTTTGTGATTCCCTGCCAAGTGTTGTTTCATTCTTGTAATCCAACCTTTGGTCACATGCCCACAAAAATTGCATTTGAAAGCATTATTGTCATTCTCATTCACCTTTTTGCAAAACTCCTTTGCATAGGCACTTGACATTCTGAATAAATGCACACAAAACAGTATTCAAAGATTATCAAACTTTAATCAAGCATTGTGAAGTAAAACAAAACTGCTTCAAACTGTCAATAACACATAATAAACTTATTAAATGCTTAATATATTATACAGTTAGTATATTATCGAACTGTCAGACTGCCTATCAAACTCCTAATAAGGCAATAACACATAACAAAAACATATCAGATTCTTAAATATCTTAATAAGTTTATTTACATAATAAACCAATTAACTGCTTAATATATAATATTGTATATTAGTATATTATCAAACTATCAAACTGCTTATTAATTATCAAACTCCTAATAAGGCAATAACAGATAAGTAAAACATATCAAATTCTTAATAAGTTTATATACATAATAAACTTATTAAATGCTTAATATATAAAACTGTAAATTAGTATAATAAAATAGCAATATCAAAGAGTATAACATTAAAGCATAATCGTATAACACAGTATATGTGTGTTATGTGCATAAGCCATTAGTCATATACTCATATACAAAACATACATAATATGTAGTATATAATAATTATAAATATAAGTCCATGAGACCATAACATACAAAAACAAAAAAAAAAGACAATCACACATATTTATACAGAATTACAGAGGTATAAGCTCAAACTTGAAAGTAATTTCTGGGAAGAATTACCTGGGGGGTCACCGGAAGCTAGGTGGTGGTTGGATGGGTGCTGGGTGGTCGCAGGATCAGCGCTGGGTGTCAAAGTTATCTGGTCGCTCCGTCAAGACTCCTTGCTCCGTACCGCAGAACAGAGTTTTTTTTTGAAATAGTGCAGATACAGGGATAAGATTGAATTTTGGTATTATTAGCGTTTGTTTGTTTTTATGTTCAGAGTCACGTTATTGGTAGGGCTGGGAAGTCAGCTCACCCACGTACCCAGAGTCCATAATTAATCTGGGTCTATTTTTTTTTTTTAAATTAACGCCAATGTTGGCGATAAAACGGCGAAGGCAAGGCGATAGCAACTAATTGGCATCGCCTGTTGTAAACCCAACACAATAGCCATAAACCTGGCGAAGACCTCTAGAATCACCAAAGGCGAAAAATGGCGCTCGCCAATACCGCCATCGACTACTATGATGATACTTCTATTTTGGAATTTCAAAACTTTTTTACTCCTATTTAGAGAATTCTCTCTTCTTTTATTGTTGATTGTGGTGCTTTTGGTGATCCTCTTCATTGAAGAGCGGTTATTAAAACGCAAATGGCATGTAGTTAACTCCAAGTAGTGTTTCACATAGTGTATGAATATCAATAGACACAGTATTATAAGTGTAGCTATATATGATTTTAAAGTAATTTTTTTCCTTTTTAATAGATTTCAAACCCTTTCATGCTCCTGTTGTGTACACTACTTTGAACTACCATACACTTGTGGTTACTTGTTAATTTGGTCCATCTCATATGTTGGTCTGGCATACAATGGCCTTAATAGATGTAACTCATTTAATACATTCAAGTAGTGTATATCAAGAAAGTTCACATTCATACAACCTTTTCGAATTCATTACATTTTATTGTAAACATGTCTTAGCATTACATCTGATTATACATGCCACATTTGTACATATCCAACAACCACAAGGCATATCTCATTCATGTCTTACCTCACTGCTCCCATATACATGTATGTATGTATATATGTCTATATTACATATTCCCCTGATACAATCATACAACCCCTAAATAAATAATTTAAATTACAGTAATAAATAAAATAAAATAAAATAAAATAAAAGATATGGTTTAAATTACGCAGTCAAACCGCACAGGTCAACGGTTCAAAACACCGAAGCAGCATCAAAATCAAAGATTCAAAACCAGGAACTTCAAAAATACTCCGACGCGGCATCAAAGCCTGCAGGAACGTCAAAAAACTCCAAAGCAGCATCAAAACCGGCAGTTTCGTCTCCGTTTCCAACTGCCGCACCTGCAGGAGCCGCCGCTGTCGTCGGAGATGGTAAAGCATTTGTGAAGCCTTCTAGCCCATCTTCACCCCGACCTTCCATATCACCACCAAATCCGAACTCCCCTGGATAACGGCACGGTTCCTCGAACATAAGGAAATCTAGGTTGTTATCATTGCTGCCGTCTTTGAAGAAATCGAGCAAGTACGATTCTCTCTCAACTTTCTCCTCCTCCGCTTCCTCCGCCATATGAATATCAGAAGGTGTCGGAAACGGTTCTCCCGCCGTATCCATCCAGAAGTTGAAAAAGCTCTCTTCATCTATGATCGTTGGATTCAAGGCGGTCGAAGAGGCATAATCCGCTTCGATTGGGACTTCATAACGTTTTAGCTCCATAAATTCTGCTGAGAAATCGTTGTTGTTGTGAAGAAGACGACGATCGCCTTCTTCATTAGTCAGCCGCTGTGCTTTCCCTCTTCGGCGGCGTGCATCATTGTCACCGTCCATCGGCTGTGCACCGAACTGAGCTTCTCCAATTTCCCTGAGCTGATCTGCGTAGTTGCTCATGTCAAAATTGGTGAGTGCCTTTGGCCCTCTCTGTTTGATTGCTGCTATGTCATATGCTACAGCTGCTTCCTCTTCATTGTCTTCATCCACCAGTAATTAAAAAACAAGTAAATAATTAATCCTCGCAAAAAAACAAGTAAATAAATTATTAATCATAAGCATGGATGAGAATTGTTACTATGCAATCAATAATTAATCACAATAGAATTAAAGACTGGGTTGGTGTTTTTTAAGAGATTTGTGTCAAACCACACTAAAAGATTGAATTCAACATTTTACATCAAATGTATTGTTAAGCCATCATTCTCACTTTAAAATCTAACAAACAAATGGTGCAAATCTTTATCGGCCAAAGTTGACTTACACATAAAATAATAATAAACTAAAAACTGTGTAGTTATAATTTGTGCAGGAAAAAGAGAAATAACTTTAGACACATACTTGGTACTCTAAATGGAAATGATAAAGATTTTTGGGATGGTCAAAAAAGGAAAATTGACCAAGTTTTACGCTACGGAGGTAGTAAGAGGTTAGAACCTTGTAAAGAGAGATTCAATTGTTATTTATTATTTCTGTCTTCTAATCGCATTGTTATTACTTTTTTCTTTTTATGGTAAGGAGTTCTGAGCACAAGGTAAAAGCTCGGGTTGAATGCAATAGGTTGCAAAACACACCAACAAAATAAACCATACGGAGTACTAAGCAAGCATGTGAGAGGCTCAACCGGAGGGTGTTGACAATGGTTGAACTCATGACCTCTCAGTCACTAGCTCGCCTACTTCACCAACTCGGTCACCTTTACGGGTTTGTTACTACCTTCCCTTATTATATTAATGGTATGCTCTTATTTGTTATATAAACAATAATGTTGTTAATTTCATAATACTTGGGTGCTTTGTTAGGTAAATACACTGTCAATTCCCATTCCAAATGTCCCAAAATAATGTTTAGTTTCTTTATGCTTGCTACCTTTTTGCTTTTCTTGGTTGATCATTCTATTATCCATTCTTTAACCTTTTCAGTCAGTAGGCGGAAAGAACATACATTAAACAGCAGCTTTATTAAGAAAAAGTTTGTCAAACCAGAATGCCTCATATACTACTCAGAGACAGCTGGGGGCCTGGGGTATAATAATGCTATGATGCCCACAAATCTACAATGGTCAATATTCGGATATTCCCAGTAGGGAAAAAACATGACACTTTTGCTTCTTTTTTTGGGATGGGAGATAATAATTTGCATTGGAAGTAAATGAAACCTTGTCACTTAACAAAACTTATGTGACAGATACTTGTTAACAGATTTCTGACTATAGAGCAGGCAAGGAGAAAGTGGACCCAAATTTTCAAAAAGTTGACAAATCAGAACATTTTGAAAAAAGCTACAACACATATGCCAAATGGAAAGTAATTTAGCAAATGAAAACTGAACTGTGAGAAACATATAATAAGTTACAGGCAATGTACAGGAAAACATACTGAAAGTTCCCAAGTACATATACTTGTTCCCCTGGACTCGTCCAATCCGTGCCTCCCAACGACCATTGTGATGGTGTCTGTGAAAGTTCAAATGTTCAACTCAATTATAAATAAGAGGAGTTGCATCATCTCTTTAAGAAAAGTTCAACTCAATTTGGGCCAGTTGATCTTTGACATCCAAAACTAAAAGCACCTATTATAAGCTAGATATGATCTCACTGAGACACTTAACTCCTTCAGATTGGACTCTTTCAAATCTATTAAAATTACAAGGAGTCAATAATTCAATATGATATGATTAATAAATAAATAATAGCTAAAGATGTTACATGTCAGTTTATCATTTAATGTTTATGGTGTGTACCTTGCAACCCCGCGGTACTTCGAAACGCCTCTAGAAAACCCACTACTCTGCCGTCGCAGCGAGGCTAGGAACTCCTCCTTAGACAAATTCTTCATTTCTTCAAGCTCTTTCGTGTACATCTCAATCTACAGAAAATATGTCATTGGTGGTAATTGATTAGTTGAGTAAATTAAACTTGAAAAACCAAAATGGTTTTGAAAGATGAAAGTCACCCCATACCGGATAATTAAGAGTGATGCCTGGCCCTGGCCCCCAGTACTTAAGAGCAGCAAGATCATAGGTTCTGGCAGCAGCCTCTTCACTGTCATATGCACCTTCAATCCATTTCAGGAAAAAAGAAATAATCACTTTGTTATGATGATGTGATGATGATTGATGAGGATATTTTAAAAAGACTAATAATAATGTCTTTCTTTACTGGTGAAAAGAAATGTTTACCCAAGTAAGCTAAGTGATGGCGATACCATAGGTTCCAGATTGCAAGGATCATCAAATGGATCAGATAAGAAAGAAACATCACAAGATCAGTAAACCAACTAATTAATATTGATATATCAAAAACGGAAAACATCAGGATATATCAAATCCCATTTGCTTCAATTTTTTTTAAAATAAAATGGTTGACTTTTAAAACATAATGAGTTTAAATAATATAATAGTTAGTTTAGGAAAAGTGTGGGATTGAATATAAATAGTAAGTGAAGTTTAGAAGGAGAGCAGCATAATATAATCACTTTGTCTGCCTTTCTTGCTCCGGGTGCTATTCCAAAGACTCTTGTCCCATAGGTGAGCTTCATATTTGCCACTCCACCTATGCCTAAAATTTTAAAAAGACAGTAAATAAACAATAAATAAATAATACGGAGTAAAAATATTTAAAATGCAGACTTTAATTGTCAAGTGTCATGCATGCACTGAAACACACACATTGGCTAATCATTATTTTACAAAATACTCGCACAAACACACCCTAGAGTTGGTGAGTGTGCGTAGCTACCTTGTGACTCCCCTGAAAAGAGAGCTCTTCCTGGGTGGCCCACATGTCGGAGAATCAGAACTGAGGGCTGAGTTTTTCTTTTTCCGGGAGCGTTTAGGAATGGGTTTGGCCGGATTTACAATGGGAGTGGCGGATTCCGGCAGAACCTCAATATCATTGCCGGAAGCAATGTATGAGGAAGATGAAGAGGATGAAGAAGAAGGAAGGGGAGAAGGCATCTTTTTCTTCGTCTCAAACTAAAAAGAAAAAAAAAACAGGCTTTAACCTGACCGCCGGTGAAGATGGACAGACAACCTTAGCTTGGTGAAATTTATAGGATTTGAAGAAAAGGTGGCGTCTGTTGGGGAGTAGTAGAGTGGAGTGTTTAGTGAGGGAAGGGTCAGGTCGGGTGTGTTAAATCATGTTTGTACGTGTTGGTTAATGGAGAGTTTGGAGTGTAATGAAGTTTCAACTCTTGGTCAAATGTGCATGAGCATGCAACCAACCAAATGGCATTACATTTCTCAAATGACACTTTATTCCCCTGCCTTGGAATCTGTGTATTTTATTTATGAGAACTCAACAAACTCCGAATTCCTAAACAACTCTCATGTTTTATTGTTTACTTAAATAAAAGTAAAAAATTGACTTCAAAAAGTTAGGGCCTATTTATTAAAACTCAAAAATTGACTTCAGCCATATTTTCCGGTTTTCTATTTCAGTTTTTGTTCTCCAATTTTCTATTTTCATTTCCCAGTTTTTCTATCTCCAATTTTTTGTTTTCATTTTTTAGTTTTCCATTTTGAAATATGAAAACATTTTCATCAAATTTTTTCACTCGGTTCTGTGACCGACTAGAAGACCGAAAGTACGGTCTCAGTCCGGAACCGAACCTAGTACAACCCAAGTAGGATACCAGGTCCGGTCCTGATCGATCTCAACGGTTAGTTTGACGAATTCTTTTCTCATTTCCCTATTAATTAGCAACTCAATGACTCTTTTAAAACTTTTCACTTTAAAAGTGATTTCAAAAAATCGAGACTGAGTCGCCGGGTCATTGAGCGATCCGTACAAGGACCGATGGATCGTTGATGGGACTGACCCAAGGTTGCCTGGTTGTCGATCAGACCAAACACAGACCGCTAAGTCATTGGCCGCACAGGATGGGGGACCGTCGAGTCATTGATCGGATAGGACGGGGACTGCCGGGTTTTTGATCAGGCAGGATGGGGATCGTCAGGTCGTTGACCGGACCGTACGGGGACCGCCGAGTCATTGACCAGACCGGATCAAACGAGGAATGCTCGGCCTTCAGCTGGACTGAACAGTTACTGCCTGGTCGTAGATCGGACCGGACAAGGACTATCGAGTCATCGACCGGACATGACAGGGGTCGCCGGGTCGTGGACCGGACCGGATAGGGACCACCGAGTCGTGGACCGGACCGGACAGGGGTCACCGGGTCATGGATCGGATCGGATAAGGACTGCCAGGTTGTGGACCGAACAGGGACCGTCGGATCGTCGACCGGACCCGACAAGGATTGCTCAGCCATCGACTGGACCAGACAGAGACCACCGGGTCATCGGTTCGTACACCAGACCAGATAGGGACTGTCGGACTATTGGCTAAACCGGACTAGAACTGATAGCGGAGCGGGACTGGATTCACCACTAGGCGTAAGTATGCAAATTCATTGAAGCAACACTGCAACATCCGCGTTTTCGAAAGTTGGAAAACTAGTAAAAGTTGTTTCTCCAATTCACTGGGGAAAACAAAGACCTATCTCATTTTTTTGGTTTTGGAAAATGATTTGGTAAACACATTTTTCAGGTTTCCTTTATCCAGTTTTCCCCAACAATTTTTTTTGTAAACACGTTTTCTGTTTTCCTTTTTTCAGTTTCCCAATTTTCTGGAAAACTGGAAAATATCTCTGTTACTCTTTCTTGATACTTTTATACTTCACCCCTCCCATCCCATGTGGCCAGATTTCTTTATATATAGTCATCTTAAAAGGCCTTTTAAACTAATAAAATTATTTTTCTCTCATCTATACAAGTTTCAACCAGGGGCAAAGTCAAGGGGTTAGAGTGGTCAACTAACCCCTCTCAAAGATTAGGAATATAGAGTTCTGAAATAGTTTCGATTTGATATATTATGTCTCTCGTAACCATTACAAGTAAAAAAGTTGTGACTTGGAAAATCAACACTATCAAAACTTAAAATGACAAAATTTGATTTGTAATATTGATTATAATCCTACATTTTAAAATTAGCGTATAATTCACTTATTACTTACATGACATGACTCAGGGGCATAACAAAGAAATCATCTTACTGCTACGATTGCCTATTCAATGGTTGATTCTTTTTAGGTAAGAAATCCTGATATTAATTAAGTCGGATGATAGGGGAAATATAGAGTTCCAAAGTGAAGCAAAGGGTCTCATCCAAGGCAATCGAGGTACATAAACTTGTCGATTAAACCCATATAATATTTGTTTATAATATATATGACATATATATCACATCCATAACTATATTATTCTCATTTAAACTACTATTTATCTAAGCTGCAAATGAAAACTTCATGCTCGGGATTGTCTAAAAACGATCCACCGCTTTCATTTTGTATAAATTTGGATTTTGACCCCCCGAGTCGTTTTTCTGGCCCCGCCATTGGTTCCAACCATACTGTTTTTCTGTTATTATTCTATATGGAGATCTAGTTCATATATCGTGGGAGCAGCTCACGGTGAGCATGTTGCTCACACAAAAAAGAAGGCGTGTTATTGTCACAAACAATAACTTCCTTTTTATTTTTTGTTTGTCCCGGTAACAAAATGGTGTAACTCGCAAGTAAACAAATGTAACTCACGCTATAAGAAATGTAATTGAATGCAAGTCAAAATGTAACTTGTCTAATACGGAATATATGATATAAAACATTAATTTTAATGAAAACAAGGAGTCTAGTTGCTCATTAAATTTACGCCATAAAAATGTTTATATACCTTTTTTGCCAAAAAAGTCATTTTTCGCCAAAAAAATCATTTTACTTTTGCAAAAAAGCGAGTTTTTGTTTCAATAGGAGGGGTTAAATTAAATAGTTAATATATTGTGTTTTTAATATTAAGGCCATTAAAACGTTTTTTAAAAAAAATCATTTTTTTGCCAAAAAAATATATATTTTTTGCCATTTTTTTTTGCAAAACAATGATTCTTTAGTTTCAGTAGTAGGCTTTATGTTGTGATATAATTTGTGTTATGGAAAATGTAACTCGCGTTGATGAAAAATCTAACTTAGGTGTATGCAAAATGTAACTTGTTGAGCCAAACTCAAATGTAACCGGCGCATAAAAAGATGTTACACACGTATAAATAAGATGTAACTGCCATATACTATCAAATGTAAATAATGAAAATAATGAGTCTAATTGTTCGATTAATTTACGTAAATAGTTAATATTTTTGTTTTTAGTATTAAGGCCATAAAAATGTTTTAAAGAAATACGAGTATAATTGGTTTTGCAAAAAAATGATTTTTTTGTTTCAATTGCAGGGGTTTACTTAAATAGTGAATATGTTCTGTTTTCAATATTACGGCCACAATTTTTAAAAAATCACTTTTTCCAAAGAAATCATTTTTTTGCCCAAAAAAATTGCAAAAAATTGATTCTTTTGTTTCAATAGTAGAGCTTCATATTGCGATTAACCTGTGTTATGGAAAATGTAACTCATATTGATAGAAAATCTAACTTAGATCTATGCAAAATGTAACTTCTTGAGTCAAACTCAAATGTAATTGCCTCATAGAAAGATGTTAATCTCGCATAAGAAGATACAACTCCACATACTATCCAATGTAACTCCTTATAATGTCTATAAACATAACTCACAGTCTCACACATATGAAAAATGAAATCTCATATTTAATCAAATTTAAATCGTAAACAAACTTTTGTTCTACAGCCGCAATCGTAAGTTTCTTCTGTGGTCATGGAGTTTCTTTGTGATTTGCACCAATCTCAGAACATACGCGTCATGATGAGGGTAGACGGGGAGTGTGATAGTAACATTCACTTTCACAGTTTATATGCTACTCCCATTGATGTTCCTTTGTCATGCTTCCTTAGCTTGGGCTTAAAATGCTCTGACAAGCCTTTATGGATTCTAGTTTGAACTTTTGTCTGCAAGATTGTAAATGAAGAGCATTCGGTCAGAACTGAATAAGCTTTCTCTATGCATCGAGATAGCTCAACCATTTGCAGGTGAGTTTAGTTGTATGACTTTCGTATAATTATGCTTTAGCACGAATGTTTTAGTTATACTTATAGTTCTTTTTTGGTAAAACTTCCAACTTGGTCTTGGTACTATCACGACAAACTCAATAAAATCCTCGTACTTAAAAAAATCAATCAAATCCCCGAACTTTGTGAGAACGTTCAATTGTGTCCATTGGCATATTACCTGTCACGTCAGCAAGGCACATGCTGACGTGGCACACATGTGACAGCTCGGTCAACATTGACTTTGCTGACGTGGTATACATGTGGAAGCTTATTCACTCATTTACCGATGATGTGGCACACACATGGACTGCCATATGTGTGCCACATCAGCGAGTGACCTGCTGACTTGGCGGGTAATCTGCTAATTGACTCGATTGAGTTTTTTATGTTCAGGGATTTGATTGATTGTTTTTAAAGTATGATGATCTAATTGACTTTTTCGTGATAGTAGGAGGACCAAATTGACAGTTTTCCTTTTTTTTTAATTTACAATTGCATTCAGATGAAGGTTAGTATAAAAATACAATTGCAAAAAATGAATTAAACACGTTATTTATTTAAATAAATTGTTTTACATAAAAAGCTTTCTCCATGTTTTTTCCCTGAGTAATTCAAAAATGCAAATCTCGATGTTAAAAAAATCCATTATGTGTAATTTTGATCTCTCTGGTACTCCCTGTGTCCCATGTTTAAATTCACATTTTAACTTCACAAGTTTTTATATAAAATAATATTTTTTTATTGACTTTCCTCTTATACTCTTTACCACAAAAAGTAAAAAGGGATAAAATCAAAAGATTGAGGTAAATGATCAAATGTAAGTTGGGGGGTATAAATGTCTTTTAGCATAAGACATCCTAAAAAGCAAATTGAAAATTTAAATACGAGACACCTCATCAGCTGATCGGACAGTTATATGAAAGAATATATATTGAACTACTTTGATCACACAGTGATAAAAAGAGTGTGAAATTCCAATTCAATTTTGAACATGAACTCAATCCTCTCCATGGTGACACCCTCATCCCACCATGGCACCATGTAAACTATGCCCGCGGCCAGATTGAGTATATGATTACCTATATCATGTCAACATGTAGTGTTCGTATATCTCCTCTATCTTTTAAAACTTTGTCATTTTTTCTTTTTTAATTATCCCAAAAACTTTATCACTTCCCGTTTAATCAATCAATTTGTGGTTCCTACCAATCTACCATTTCTATCTCCTCTATACAAATATCAACCACACGGTTTTTATTTTATTATTCCATGTGACAGACAAACTTGGCAAAATTTTGAAAAGTAAGAGAGAAAATATTAAAAGGTAAAAAATGTGACAAAAAGAAGATGAATGGCATTTACACCTTTCTGTAATTGCACAGGAAATATGAAAAAAAAAAATCAAAATTTCATAAAGGGAATTTGGGAAGTGGGCAAGTAAAAATCAGTGGAATAATAATACACACATACAGAGTATATTTCCTCTATGGTGGAACTGTTCTTTTGGACTTATTTTAGTTTCACACTTGACATATTCAAAATAGCAACAAATAATATAACAACTAAAATGAGACTGGCCAAATCAAACTAGATAATTTTAGTCCAAAAGAATGCCTCCTTTTTTCTCTTTAGTTTTCCTTTTGCTTAAAATGTAAAAGCAAACAATAAACTCATTTATGTCATTGAATTTTTCAAATTCAAGGACCAAAGGGAAAACCAGCAGCCTCAATGCCACCACCACAAATAAGCAAACCCCCAGAATCTATTCTTTTGTTGTAAAGTACTCGATGAAACCATATATTCTCTATTTGTCCTTTCAATTTGTATGCACTAGGATCCCAGTTTGATGCAACAATTTCAGCACTAATTGCACCTTTAAGTGTTGTTTCTCTTTCAAAATGCCTAATACAGCTCCTAATGTCATCATCTGTTTCGGCAGATTTTGGTAATTCATGCATGAATGATAACTGACCAATGCCACGGAATACCTGCAACAGTAATAACTGACCATAAACATTCAGTATTTCTAATTTAAAACATACGAATGACAATGATAAGCTCTAAAGCAGATTACTTGAGTGTATCAATTTCTGCAGCGCTTTGTTTATTATAGTATACATTACCATTTTGTTTGGTATGAAAACTCAGTGTTGTAAGTTGTAACAAACATATTGAACCACATATAAGGAACATTTAAGCATTTCATTTAAGATCCAATCCTGCAATTTATCAATAAATTCATCCTATATGTAAGGAGGCAAACTTGATAGGGAGGATTCCAAAAAAGTGATACTCGCGGTAGTGGTGATGTATAAATTACCAAAGCATGGTAGAAATAAAGCCACAGCCCAGATAACTGTTGCAATAAAGTTCAAATAATACTTCACTAGGCAGCAAGAAAAAACAACCACTCGTACATGTAGCAAGACAGACAGTACAAATGATAACATGGGCTTCCATAATTGGAGTCCAGGTACAGATTTACTCTCCACACCATGGATTGTAAGTAAGACTCAGACGTGTAATAAAGAAAAAGAATATCCTGATACACAAGCAAGCAAATATATCTAACTCAAAACTTTTAATCATCTAGCAAAATGCATTGTATAACAGTAGAGCATCAGTCAAGGGAAAACCTGTTTATTCCCAGAAAAGCATTCCATGCTTCCTTGGGGTTCCAGTTGACTCTTGCTGTCTGAGAAGGTAGCTTCATTTGAGCTGTGAGGTGGATCTTCAGGTGCTGAGAAGTCAGAGCCGTCAAAAGTTGATATGGATACACATTCATCAAAGTGATCAAAGTATGCCATTGCTTCTTCAGTGAG